CGTATCCATACAATAAAAAACTTGCATCCACCAAGGCCAATCGTACGTACATACAAAGTATAAGTAATCAGACATAAATTGTGAAGCTTCGCATCGTTGCAATTCTATATGTGCACTCTTGAACACACACACTCACACTCACGTCTTGATTTGTCTTTTCCACCACACGAACACACTCGCACACATACTCACTCACAAATGTCCGAAAGAGAAAAATGTCGTTGAATTTCGTGAACGTTCTTCTTCAGTTCGAATGTTGTCGATTCCATAAAAATTCAAATGTTTCCTTTGTTGCATTGCATTGCCATTGTTAATCGAAGGAGGACGATCGAAGGCGAACAGCAGTCAATATTACTGTATATGATTGCATCGAATGCAGTAGATGAAAGACAAACACCCAACGGAAGCAATAAAATACCCGAGTCAGAGACGGAGAGAAAGAAAGAAAAAAAAAACGGAAAGACCGAAAACGTTTCGATTGAACTAAAGTCTCAAGCTGGCCACGACAACAGGATATTCGACTTCCAAATGCTATAATTTGTGATGGCTATTATGGCAGACCGAAAGAGCGGCATTGGCATTTTATTAGATACGTTTAACCAACAACAAAAACAAACATCAGCACACTACGCTTTCGATTCAGTCTTGAATCTATGTGTGTTTGTTTTCGGTTGGTAATATGTTATGACCGTTTCCCAGAAGACGTCAGGGTCTTCCATGGAGTATATATTTTTGCCTTAAATAAACACACATTGCAACAACAAAAAAATGGTTCAAGTTCATTTTTTCTATGACTTTGTGCTGTTATGTGGCCGTTATTACTTTTCCGTACACAACGTGTCAAGGGAAAGTATAGGAATTGGTCCCGAAAACTTTTTTCGCAAAATTAGCTTAGATCATCATAAAAACTCATGAAACGCGTAGAAAACCACTTTTTGAGTCACTTTTCCGTTCGTTGTCGTTGTCGTCGTTGTCGTAGCTGTTTGTAAACACGATAACTCAAAAAATAATTGAGATAATCCAAATCTGAAAGTCCCAAAAGTGTTGTATCCAATAAACTTAGTTTTAGTTCGAAGATGAGTCATTTTCGATTTGATCCTGGGGTACTTGCCCTAAGAAAAACCTCAAAAAATTGACACTTTTGTATGGGAGGTACCTGTAAATCAACTCCGATTGGCTTCAAACTTTCTGGGATTTCATTTTTTGGGAAAAATGAAAGTTTGAAAGCAATCGGAATCGATTTACGGGTACCTCCCATACAAATTTTTTGAAATTTTGACTAAAATTACCGATTTTTGGACAATTTTGTATGGGAGGTACCCCTTAATCGTTTCTGATCGGCTTCAAACTTTCTGAGGTTTCATTTTTTAGAGAAAAAATAAGATTCTGAAAGTTTCATGTTGATCGCATTTGCAGAAATTTGATTTTTTGTCCTCAATTTTTGTCGAAATTTTCTTGGAAAAAATTGAGGGCCAAAAACCAAACTTCTGCAAATGCGATCAACATGAAACTTTCAGAATCTTATTTTTTCTCTAAAAAATGAAACCTCAGAAAGTTTAAAGCCAATGAGTTACGGTTTACGGGTACCTCTCATACAGAATTGTCGATTTTTCACTTTATTTTCATTATTATATTTTCACTGCCTTTATTTCAAGAAAATTCACAAAAAATAACCAAAAGTACCTACGGACAACGCAGGCCAACGGTACGGAAAAGTTCGGGATTACCAATGTAATTCTTTTTATATCCGTAAAAAATGCATCTTTTCATGAACGGACTTTCATTTGCTGCTTTTCCATTCGCCAAGCAAAAATATAGACTTCCGTTGTGTTGAGGTGAAACAAAAACCAATGTGGCTTTAATACACATGCGATATTTACTTGGGCTTAATACACATGCAAACAACTCTGGTGCGCCATTTTTTTTCTATCTGAGTACCATACATATTTTATGAGCCGGCCGTAGTTTGCATTGGCTTAGTGTTACTTTTACCCTTTTAATCTGACATGATGTGGTGGTTCATGGGAATTGCCTCAACTTGCTGTTGAATATGTGGTTACTATCGTCTTTGTTTTCTTATTCGTTCAAAGAGAAGCAACATTCCTGACTTCGTGCATGTGTTCAATGTTCATGAATCTTAAATTTATGGATTTTTGTGGTACACCACGTGACTGCTCTCTCTCTCTCTCTCTCACACACACATGGATCTATTTCACTTCTGAATGCACAAAAAGACAAATGGTGAAATTTACCATAGAAAACAAAGACGATTAAAATCAAGCTTAATAGTTGGTTTGGGAAGAATAAACGGAGGAGCACAAGAAAAATGACTAAATTGTATCAATAGAGGAGCTGGCTTCCATCAGCAAACGAATATTACAGAGAATTCGAAACTGCAACTCAAACAGCTCAAGCCGTTACAAAGTTCCAGATTCAAAAACTCTGCACAAACTCTTGAATAGAAAAAATGGCTTCTTAAATCACAAAAAACTGTTTTTGTTGTGTTACAATGCATTCTTTTATTGCTTGTTCTCGACTCCATTGTGTTACCAACTTTTCGTACGATTAATATCGAAAGTCATAAATCTAAAGGCAGTGGAACATTTCTTATCTTTGCCGTAACGACAGTCCATTCAATCAAGTAAATTAAATAAATGTAAACATATTAAGCATTCGCTCTATGATTGTGTTCATTAGACTTCATTTGGATTTCGGCAATGCTGCTGCGGTTTCGTTGGTTTATTAGATTAGGCGATTATTCGTAACAAATAAGAAATATAGATATTGAATACGAAAATAGAGTGCGAAACTCGGGGTAAGCGAAATAAATATAATTCATTGACGTGCTGAGCTCTTATCGGATGATTCACGTGCACGCATTTATTCATTGTAATGCGAACGGTTATTGGATCGGAAATGGCGTCGAGACGTTGCTTCCAATCGAAACCGAGCCAGAACATAAACGTGCAAGTAAAATGACGCTAATGTATTGCATTGATAACAATGAATAAATCGCAAACCAAATGGTTTCAATGTACATCTAAATCGAAATGTATCCAAACGATTCCCGTGTTGGCTTCATTTCGCATCGTTATACCCATTTCGTTAATGTTTTGGAGGCGTTGAGCGCGCGTTTTTCACAGCATTAATGCGCAAACACAATAAACATTCAAATGATAGGCAAGCATCTAGGCAAGCGAATATTGTAATCACCGCGAGCTGTATGTATTGTAATCAGTGTGGCGCATCTTTATATATACTTTGCCAAGTCAACGGGGAAGATGTTCAAAAATCAAATGCATGAACACATTTCATCTTCCACCGTAATCCCAATCGCGAGAGAACATTCTAATCGGCGTGTATTTACTTTCACAGTGGCCTCGTAAATATTACCGTATTCGATGGCATAGATTTGCTGAGACAATCCGCGTCTATTGTTCATTAATTCGGTAGATATTTGCTCACTACCAACTCGGCAATCGGAGATCATTCACCAAACTTGTTTCACGTTCCATCCTTTTTGGCAAAACATTATTACCGATTCCATTATAGTAATTCACTGCATTTTCAAAAGTCCAAATATTTGTCATCCTTTTTTTTAAAATGGTAACAACAAAAGTAACTAATATTAAAACCAATTGAAACATGCAAAATTGTTATTATTCGGCGCGTCAATAAATGTTAAAAAGTATTTCCGTCGCTTTTTTATATGCGTTTTAAATCGGAATCATTATACTGGATGTGCGTTGCTCTGAAAGAGAAAAAACGGGAAATTATTAAATGAAGCATTCAAACGAATGATGCAATTCCGTTTCATTTAGCATTCGATTGCATGAAAGTATGATTTATCCATTAAAGCGATTATAATAACTGATATTCAATTTGAATATCCGGCTGCAGTTGAATCTCATGAATTACCTGAACAAATGTCGTGACTTCGTCCATAAGCATGATTGCCTCATAGGCTTTACATTCACGTACACGTTCACTTCATTAGGCAATGCCATTTTTCAACAGTTGAGAGGATTAATTTCACTCGCGAATAACGGCGACACTCGTTCTAAAAACGGGATAAACATTTTTCCGACTAGATTTATGACAGAAAGTGGTGCGATTGGTATGCAGTATGTTAAAATCGATACGAAACTATAACTAATGTACATTGATCATGTAGCTATCGAGGGCAAGGATGCGAATTTCGTGATTTTCCAACGCAATACACATGTTTACAAATCTAGTAAATCTGTAATTGATAAAACGAGGACCGCTGGCCAACAACTTATACAGTACAAAATGATTTTATCCCATTAAATGCGCATGAATATTTAAATGAACTTGACAACGTACCAAAATATGCACACGCACAAACTGCGCACGGGTTTTTCAAATGAATTTTATACTTTTAATGAAATTTCATTAATTTTTCATGACACACTGAATTATGAAATGTGCTCGTTCGCTCGCTGGATGCACTAAATCCCGGTTGCAGCTGTATGTTGTTCAGCATATGGCATCAGTGAAGCGATCAAAAATGATAAAGTTTATATGAGTTATATTAAAATTGTTTGTTGCCACAAATTAAATGCTCTTGGAATTGGGAAAGCTGCGATTTTTTGTTGGCTTAGCGGTTGATGCTTACATAAAAGTATTATAGTTTTAAATATTGGTTTAAAGTTGGAATTTAAAAAAATGCTACAACATACGCGCACGGCCCTAAAATTGTCGTTACTTGGTCTCAGTTCATTCTTCTTTGTTGCCCTTACAACACATGGCATGAAACAGAACATCCATGTGAACTGATAAACTTTTGTGTGTATGTGTGTATTGTATATTCAAAGAGAATGGTTTTCTTTTTGGTTTCACATAAACCAAAATGTGGTACGCACGCATCACACACCAGCACTGCCGAGTAAAATTGTCTCAAACAAAATTTTCAGTGAATTAATTACTAGTACATGTTTGTTTTTGTTTCGCTTCGCGCACTCTTCTCAACATTACAGAGCTTAACAGGATTTTGAGTGAACAGCAGCAGGTTGCGCAAAGTGCTTCAAAAATTGTTTATTCACTAACCCCAATAACATTGTATCGAAGCTCATAGCTGGGTGCCAGCCAGGTAAGGAACACACATAATAATCGTACACACAATTTTCCGTGATTAATTGAGCTCAGCACTGCATGAATGTAATTTTGTAAAAGACAGAAACCTTTTTTTCACTTTAAATGATTTGCAATTTTTCTTCGATAAAAGGAGAAAAAAAAAAACAAAATCTGCACAACCTGAATATATATGTTTTCAAATAAATGATATCCATGTACACGTAAAAATTGTTATCTGGGGCTTTGGTATCTCAGCCACCGCTAAATCATCTTTTCGGGTGAACGCAACGGGTGATTTCACATACGGTTTTTTTTTTAGTATTCTGGCGGTATTTTAGCTTGTTATGAATTGTAATTTAAAATGGAGCAATTGAGACGATTTTTTTTCTTTCATTTTTCAACTCCTGCCAACGATTCCCGTCTGTTTTAGTTTCGAGAAAAAAAAAACCGATAAGTCAGAACCAGCAAAGTTTTCACAGCGTTGATTGCCACTTAGAATCATGTTGTGTTCGCTGTTTTCATCTTATTTATTTTCTGTTTGATGTGTGGTTTGAAACTAGCAAAAGTGGTGCAGATGCACACACACATGTTATAGCTCGATGAAGAGAACAAAAAAATTAACCATATAAACACGTTGAACGTGTTCGTTTTTCACAAGTTCACCCAAAAATAATGACAGCATTGTTATTCCCGACATGACCGAATTTCCGGCGAATTTACTTTATCATTTTGGTTTGAGTGCTGCAGAGTGGAGCGACAGGGGTGCGAGTGGCACAAAAAAGAGAAAAAAACAGACTGAAAGCCCTTTAACGCAGTTCATTGCCGCATTTTTCGGCACGATTGAAACTTTTGTGTGGCGATAGCATAGAGAAGTTGATATATCGACATAATTTAAAAATAAAATAAACATCGTAACACTTGAGAAATGGACCGAACACGCAGCGCACGTTTTAGTTCATTTGAATTATATGAAACCATAAAAATTCGGGGAGATTTATCAGTGTGTATGTGTGCGTTGTTAGATTTAGATTTATTCGCGTGGCTTTTCATGTGTGCACTTTTCAACCGTGTGCCAAATCCATCAGCAAACGTGCGTATTTAGAGCGACAATCCTATTGGGGTTGGAATCGTCTTTGAATATCGACACCAATGAAGATGAGAACTGTGTAGAGCCCAACGAAAGAGAGGAAAAAGCTTTACCATCAATTATTTTGACAAATTCCAATCGGTTCTTTATTGCCATTCTTCCGGATGTGCGGAAGCAGAGCAAGGCAATTCTATCGGCTGGCTTTTTATCTCGTGCACCGAATAAATTTGTTGGCGATAGATTCTCTTTTTTTATTTCGATTGTCTCTACGCTGGGATTTACAGCAGTTTCCGAAATCGAACTGTGTGTGTGTGTGTGTGTGTGAGAGAGAGCGATTGTGTCTATGAGACTCATTCATTGCATTTTCACTTGATTCGGTCGCACCGGCGGCGGTGGCATCAGCGTCAACTTATTTTTCATTTTGCCCCATCGCCTCGATAAGTTCATGTTGTCTTCAGCATGTAAACACGTAGCTTAGCACAAATCGTTGAATAACTGTTTTATGGGAAATGGTTTATTTGCGATTGCAGTAATTTGTATTCTCTCGTATTCGCTTATCGAATGCAATTTATTCATTTGCTTATGCGAACATACGACCGAGATTGCTTTTATTTATTTTCCCATTTTCGATGCTTTGCCCATCTCGAATGTTCGATTGGACTTCCTGTTTGCTCTCTTATCCTCTTCTGCACGTTTATTTATGTGCAATGCAAAAGCGACACGTACCCAAGTGATTTTTTTTTTGTGTGAATCGCTGTTGCGGTGAAAGTTTGAAAGACACACATATCGAAAGTGAGTGTGAGGGGAAAAAATCGGCTAGTGATGTTGTCGCTGCACTGCCATTCCATTGATTTTCGATGGCAACCATATACTCCGCCTCTCTCTCTCTCTCGTCGCTCCGGCACGGCGTGAAAGCTCAACATTGACCGAGTGCATAAATCATTAAATTACGTGAGCAGAGATTGCTGCACAGTGCTAACAACCGATATCAGACGAGAGATACATTTTATGTTGCGGAGTAGAAATTTATGTATATACGGCAAAGCGTTCGTGTTTGCATGATGGATTAAACCATCAGCTGCCAGATAACAAATTAACATCAGAAATACTAGATTATTCCATTTAATCTTCGTTTGCATTGACAACGCGGACGAGCGCAGAGAGAAAAACAAAATCGGGAGGAGACTGGCGCGAGCGCGGAAAAAATCCATTGGCAGTGTATGCGCCGGCAAAAGTGCAGACAATAACAGATTTTTCGCTTAAAAATAGAAAATGGCTTCGGATTTCTGTGTGTATGCTGACGTGTACGCGCGACAAACACGCTTCAATGGAAAATTCGAAATTTTTATCACTGCAAAAGCTTTTTATGAAAAATGACTCTCGTCTGGCGTTTTTGCTGCGGAGATACAGCACTGTCGACATCGCACATTAGAACATCCAGCCCATTTGGCTGTGCAAAGTCTACGATGAATTTTTAATTTAGCCGTCTGTCTCTCGGAGTAGCGCTTTTTCTCGCATTTCTCTTGCATGTCAATCGAGCGTTTCCGCTCAGAGAAATTGAGTAGTTTTTTTTATGTTTGTGACAAAATGAGTTTGCAGATCGCCATTCAAGTTGGATGGAAAATCAATGAATCAACTCCCCATCCATTCATACTTCGTTGCGCCTTGCCTCGGGCACATATTTATCTTTGTATTTGATTTGAGATGTCATTTTTGCCACTATTTATACAACAAGTGTAATGTTACAATCAAACAATCCAAAACTAACATCAATCACATTGCAACAATCCAAAATTGAAAATGTCGATCAAATGCGGTGTTAGAGTTGATATGATTCGAATGCACAACACAGACGTCGCAAATACATGCATACATTTATCGAAGATTATTCATTTCCATTTGTTTGTACACTCGTTTGCTCCATCAATATAAATCAAATTACTTTTCATACATAAATAGCCACCGCAAATATTGTCTGTCCCTCCCAATCCGCGTATCGCGACCCGCCTTAATCCAAAATTTATCACAATGAAAATATTCAATTATTCGATTGCAATGAGATTCGCCCCACACTTACTATGCAAATTTTCGTCAGATACTATCAATTCAATTTATTGGGTTTGTGCGGTTTTGGGTGCTGTTTGCCGATAGCAATTTACTGTGGCCCAACCAAAAGCAATTGTAAATAATTGTTTGACCATCGCACAATTTCTCTGCATTTTGCTTGCGAAATTCCCAATAAATCGCATGAAAATACATTGCAAAAAAAGACATAAAAATTGTAACCTCAAAAACGCCGTATGGGCAGAACAGAGGGAAAAAAAATGAATGCCACAAGAAAATATTTTACAATATTCGAATTTCGACGACCAAGCCTCTGCTTGCACAATGCATATACACACATATTTGAGAAGCATGTGATCATGTGATGCTTTTGGTGCAGTGCAGCTATTCTCTCATGTAATTAGTTCCATATGCATATACATAGGTATAAAATACTCAACGCCGTTTCTTCGTCTTTGTCTACTTTTGCTTGCTTGCTGCGAAAACGAACAGCAAATTTCAGTACTTCGAAGTTCGTTCAAATCAAAGCAGTCGTCTAACACCCAGTCTCAATGCACAATATTCTTTCGCTTTTCATTTTCTATTCGTTTTTTTTTTGCGTTAATAAACCATAAAATATTCGCTTCACGTAAACTATAAGTGCTTTAAAATCTAGGGGCATTTCTCACACAAAAAATTTGAGCAAATGTGCAAAAATGTCCATTATTTCTTCTTTTTTATTGAAATTGTAAGAAAATATACTGAAATGACGATATTACTTGAATAAAAGTGTTCTGGAAGTAGGTTTTAGTGGATCTCAAGGATCGTTCAGAACTGCTCCCGATTCTGGAAGTGGGTTTTGGTGGATCCTCAGGATGGACCAGATCCGGTTTGACAATGCCCTGGCCCATCCTGAAGATCCACTTCCAGAACCGGGAGCAGTTCTGAACAATCCTTGAGATCCACCAAAACCCACTTCCAGAACACAAGTTCAGTGTAAATGAACATTTATTTACACGAATTGATAAAAATTGATCGAATCGGACCGAATGGAAGAAATTTTTCAAAATTTTTTAGGAATTCATTGATTCTTTTCGTGAGAAATGCCCCTAGTTTAAAATTGGTGCGAAATAAAACGGAGAGAATCCAATAAAATACACACAACCAAGATGGATCATTATGACAATACAAGCTTGAGAGTTTGGTTTCTGTGTGGTGCCAGTGCCTTGGCACACATGCATACGCCCAGGCCGACTTGTGTGTTTCAATTTTCTCTCGCTGCTTGACATGTTTTATTTTGTTGCCTTCTTCTCGTTTTCGGTGCTTGAAAGTCATATCGGCAAATTGTTAAATTGCTTCACGCCACATGGTCGCTTCGGGTTGCTTTGACACAATCAGCTCGTAAAAGTGAAATTCGTGTTGAAATTTCTTCACGTATTTAATACGGAAACGTTTTGACAGAAAATTGTGGAAAAAGAATGTACACAACAGTGAATGCATCATTGCAATGTTTTGCATGCAAACATGATGCAATTTCAATATAAATGCAAATCGTTATGATGACGCACATATTCAAAATACCGCTCGCGATATGTATTTAAAGTATGTTGATGTGTGAGCATGCACACCAAAACCAGAAACTCACTAAAAATAATTTAAAATCCTTGTTCTCGATCAGAAGTGCTCGCATGGAGTCAACCATCCATAAATTCTGTTTCAGCTGATAAAGTGAATTCTTTTGATCGTGCATTTCAGGCATCTTTAGTGGAGCGCTTGGTGGGCTTTTATCTCGGCCTCTCTTTCTTTACTCCAATCGCTGCGTTCTTCTCTCTAGTGGTTGACGTTGAGTTTCCCCTACAGCAATATAAATATTTGTGTGCGTTTGT